AAGCTGTTGTTATGGAGTGCATGTGGGCAATCCAGAGGCCTCTCTTTGCTGGAGAGGAATTCCAACAAGCTGGCCCATTTAGGGGCCCCTCATTCCCCCATGGCTGTTGGCCCTGCTCTTAGCGGAGCCATCTTCAGTTTGCCGTTGCTTCCCCAGAAGTCTCCACATTCACTGCAGAATCAATCTTTAGAGGAACACTCAGGGAAACTTCAAGTGGTCAACTTGATGATAGGTTGAAAGCAGGTACTAAATTGCACTAAGTTGTACCTCTATGTTTCTCACATCAAGTTAAAATGACTCATGGAAGCTCAGTGGCTCTCTAGAATCTAGAGCAAATCACTTTCTCTCGGCCCAGTCTACCTCACAGGATTGTTACTAGAGGTAAAAATTGGATAAGGGTGTACTCTGAATGCTGTTTTGAATTCCTGAAGGAAACGTGAGATGTAAAGCTAATAAATACAAAAATAAATGACACTATTATTAAAGATAGAGATTGGCTTCCTTATATTAGGTCAAAGAAGGTCACCTGGATATTATCCACTGCATATTCCATAGCAGGGATGAACAACTTTTTTGAAATTAAGAGTTACACTCCAAAGAAGCAACATCAGAGCCAGGACAAAAAGCAAATTTATTTCATTTAATTCATATTTTAAAAAATTACATTAAATGTAATTGATAATGTTATTTAGCAAGTATATATTCATTTTTCCCTTTTGCCATATTTAAAAAATACTATTTAGTAACAACTTCTAAAGTTTGTTTGGAGCAATACATTGGGCTTATACTGTAGGAGATCTCAGACTCTCTTTTAGATCTAAGCCTCAAAGATCTGGATCAATATTAGTTTCTAATATTCAAGTGCCGATATAAACTCCTTTTTTACAACCCTGTAATCCCTTAATATGGGGTAGAATCAGGGTGATTGGATGGAGCTGAGCATTTATTGGCCAGATTCCCTTCCTGACGCTATGTGGAGTTCACAACAGATATTTTTTCTTTATGCCCTAGGAGAGAAATATCTGCCACTACTTAGGATTGAACTTTCAACCTTCTGAGTGGGAGGTGAGCATCTTCATCACTAGGCCACCACACCACTCATTCAAGTGCAGATATATTCTGCCAATTTCACCTATGGGGAGCTATCCTGCAAACATTTACAAATTCTAAATCTATCTAACCATTTAGAGGTACGCCTCACAGGAGATTCAAAGATTCATAAAATGGCAGTTTGGAGAAAACACTTTAAGAGATGGAAAAAGAAGTGTGGAGATTTTGTTCTTTTTTTCTCCTCATTGATAAAGGACTCCAGTGGCTGAATCCCCACAATGGAGACAGACTCATTGTTTAGCCTTTTTGTTGCCAAGCCCAGGCAAGCACAGATAAAGCCAAGAATCTGGAGGGAGTTCTAAGGATTTAACTTTGACTGGAAAGAGAGAGCAAAAAGCAGGTTGGAGGGAAGGTATAAAGGAGAGAGAGGGACACACTGAATCTCCCCAAGCTGTTTAGAAATAGACATTAAACAGACTCCATTTGGATAACAATAAATTCCAGACTACGTAGGCAATCCTTTTTTAAAAAAAATCAATTCCAAGGGGAACAAAAATCCTATGAATCTTAAAAGCTAAGGAATTAATTCTAGCATAAGCTTCTATAGAAATGATTTTGCTACATCAGGTATCTGAAGCTCTACCAACATGCTTCTAAATTCAGAAAAAGTCTGGTAGCATCTTTTGGGACTACAGCAACCGTTTTATTTAAGGCATGAGCTTTCATGAGCTGGTTATCATAAATTAATAGGACTCTCTTCTTCCGCTGCCTGCGAGCTTCTGGTGGCCTTTTTCCATTTCCTCAGAACATACATCAAGTACAATCAGAACCTTGGAACTCTTGAGAACAGTGTGATGACGTGAAATGTCATAACTTTAGAGAGAAGATGGGGACAATATATAAAAGATACACTTAATCTACAGATCAGGTTCCATTTCTCAAAGTAAGGTTCTGTTTTGATAATGCTATGCACATACTGAAGACAGTGAGATTTATTTCCAAAGAAACATGTACAGGGTAGAGCTGTCAGACATATGCAGCCCAATCCATTACATATTTATTCATGTTCAGCTCTCAAGAGGTTGAGCACATTGCATCTTTGGAATTCAGATTTGTAATGAGCTCTTCTGTCCAACTAACACCATTATAAAACTAAAACTTTTCTAATTCAAACTAAAAAGAGGTAGGGATTTTACCTATATTTTTAAGGAGGACCTGGGAATTCTAAAAACAACCATGCTTATAATGCTGTCATTTTCTCATTCCCCAGCTTTCTGACTTCCCTAGAGCTCATGCATACTTGGCTGAACCCTCAACAGGAAAAAAAGTTTTGTTAGTTTCAGGGCCTTGGCTCCCTGCTGTGCATAACCAGCTGCCAAAAAGTAGCAATTTCCAGCCTATGGCCCTTTTCTGTCAGTATTTCTCACTCAGCCTGTGATGCTGAAAAAAACAAGACAGTTCTAGTCCTCCTGTAAGAAATAAGATGAGATTTTTGGACAGAAAAAAGAGAAAATACTTCAGAGTCCTGCCTAGCTTCCCAAAACAAGTTTCTTCTTGCAGGAATAGAATAAAAACCACAGTTATAAAAACTTAATTCCTAATGGGGGATTGTAATAAATGGATTTCTGATCTGGCTATCCAGAAAAATTAGGCAGTTCAATAGACTTTGGGAACTTTTAGAACAGGAATGGTGAATTTTGCAGTCCTTTAGATGTTGCTGATAAATTTTTTTCTTACTGACCTAAATAATATTTAGGCTGGTGGTTCTCAACCTTTTCTTCACCACGGACCCCCTTTAAATAACATTTGTGGCCATGGACCATGTCCACGGACTTAACTCAAGATTTAAATCATAACATTTCTTCACGCCTTCGCAGACCCTCTGGAACGATATCTCCCCCCCCAGGGCTCCGCAGACCGCAGGTTGAGGACCACTGATTTAGGCAATAAATTGTACCAAGGCAGTTTGCACACAAAATGTGGATTTGTACTGAAAGTGAACTTTTAGTAAGATAGAAAGAGAAGAAAGATTACATTACAAATGTCTTAGTGTGGAACCTAACAAAGCAATGGAAATTCTGAAATTCATTTGTGGATGCAGACATACTGAAAATAGAAAGATGGGAATGTCTGCCTTTATCAGCTTACTACACAAGTTCTATGCATTAAAATTTGAAAAATTTAAAATGCATATCTCAAGAGAAAATATTTCAGAAATATACATTTTGAGATGTTATTCTTAAAACATGGCTTTAAATATGATTTTTTATTTAAAAGATTGAAAAGAAAGAATAACCCACCAGTTAGTGAGAAAGATGATAAAATATGTAAATGAGTGCATGCAATATTAAGAGAAGTAGAATTCATACCGTACATTCTAGTGAGAACACAGGAGAGGAACTATGACCTGTGATCAAACATACCTGGTTTGACGCAAGGGAATAGGCAAGGAGATACACAGAAAAGGATCAAAAGTATTGCTCTGTTTCCGGCAATGAGGGCAAGTCAATGAAGATCTAGAAAAAAAAAATACAGAAATTCTTCATTAGTAAAGAAACTGATATCAAGTTTAGCAATGCCAGCTTTAAAAAGGTTGGCTTCCAATTTGGTATTCTAGACACCAAAGTTTTCTTCAACCTCTGGGCTAAAAAGAAAACTACAGATTGCTAAAGACCTGAGAGTACCACTCCTTTGAAACTTGCAAACTGACATTTCTATGAAAATTAGTAACACTTTGATGAGACCCGCCTTGTATATTATGTAATATATAAATTAATAGCACTTTGATGAGACCGGCCTTGTATATATTATATTATGCCTTGTATAATATACAAAACACTACCGTCTCTCTATCAGGTAAGATCTACATAAATGGACTTTCAGGTCTCTCTCCTCTGAAGGATCTGACTATTACATTAAATCAACTTTTGAGTAGTTAAGATCAGACAAATAATATATTTGTATTTTTACCCATATAAAATTGGTAAAAATAGCATACAAACACACAATACTGTAACCATTTTCTTACCATCTCCAGGATCAATTGGCAATGGGTTTCTCTATGGTATTTTAGCTAAAAGGAAGGAAGGAGGGAGGGAGGGAGGGAAGGAAGTAAGGAAGGAAGAAAGGACTTGATAATGTTAAAAGAGTTCATGGACCTTTTCTTTGACATATAATCTTTCTTGCCTAAATTTCAAGTCTTGTTTCTAGCATGAAAAGCTGGGAGAAAAGGTTATAAGTGAAGTCTTTTCAGCTGGATATGTTATACTTAGCCCACTATATTCTGAAATTCACTTTTTGCCTCCCACACTAATAATGGTGTGGACATCTTTTTTTGGCCCAAATATTTTACTATGCTTTTAACATCTGTTTAGGATCACAGAGAGTGTAACATCTGATAACATCATGATGTTGCCAGAGAGATGGAGAAACTTCTGGCACAGGCCCCCTCCCCTTTTTAGGAAAAGGAGGTTTAAAGGCAAAGTGAGTGGCTTGAGTTGTCAATTCACCCGTTCTTCCCTTTTAAAACAAGTAAAATGGTAAAATGGCAAAACTTCAAAACAAGTAAAATGGCAAAATGGGAGGCCAAAAGAATAAAAAAGGTCTTCAACACCTGAACCACAATTTTGGGCATTAACCACTTCCCATAAAAAAAATCCCAAATATTCAACCCTATCAAATCAATCTTATAGGCCAGGGTCCCCAACCAGTACTGGGCTGTAGCATGCCAGCAACCGATCCACACAAACAAGGAAAACCCCATTTACAGGATGCAGGCAGCACACAAAACCATGCCCCCTTCGGTCCACGGAAAAACCTCTCTTCACCTAATCGAGGCCCTGGTGCCCAAAAGGTGGGGACCTCTGTTATAGGTAATAAACTTGCTACTCCCTGCAATAAACTGCAACAAATCCTAAGGTTGAATTAGCACCAATTTATAATCTGACACCAATAAGTGTGGCTAAGAGGCTGCCTATGGACTGAATTTGGTGGAAGGACTAGAAATGAAATCATAACCGGGAAGCACTCATGTCATAAAGAGGCCATTTCCAGTTAAGATGGCCAAATGGTTTAATGTGTCTTACAAACTGCCCCATTCGGTATTCCTCTAAGGTTTATTTTATTTACACCCATCAAACTCTCACAGATAAACCAACCTCATGAAATAAAGACAATAATACATCCATAATATAACATTAAAACTTGTAAAAACAAAATTAAACAATAATTAACTAATAACATATTTTCCTTTCCCACAGGCTCTCTAAAACAGTTTTTAAAAGCTTGTGGACAGCAAGTAATGTGGGTGCTATTGTGATTTCTAGTGGGAAACCAGAAACATGTGGAAGAAAGAGGTGGCACCCGCAGACCTTAGCTCAGTGGTTCTCAACCTGTGGGTCGGGACCCCATTTGGGGTCGATCGACCATTTCATGGGGGTCGCCAAGCAAGGCTGTCCACCATTTTTTTGTCCGCCATTTTTTTCCCCTTTTCCGGTGGGTGCCTTACCTCCCTTGGGCTGGGCCAGCTGGTGCTCCGTCTCTGCCGCTTGCCAGCTACGCCTCGGCCGGCGCAGGGGGCGGAACCACGCATGCACGGCGCTCCTGGGCAGGGAAAGTCCTCGACTTACGACTGGTTTAGTCCTCGACTTACGACCGGTTTAGTCTCGACTTATGACCGGTTTAGTCCTCGACTTACGACCGGTTGGGGTCACGGCATTAAAAAGGTTGAGAACCACTGCTTTAGCTCCTCTCACAAAGTTTTGTGTCTGATAAAGCATCTTCTGGATATGTATCAGAAATAAAGCCTCAGTTTCAAGGGAAAAAATAAAATATCTAAACTGTAATTCCGCACAAAGACCCTTCTTAGTTTTAAATACAGGTGAAGAGAGCAGCAGCTTTGTGTTTCATCCAAATAAGGGCCCATTTCAACCATTTTTCCTCTTCATTCCATCAGTCACCTCTCACTTCCATTCCTAGTAATACCTTACAACTATTTCAACTCAGAAAAGAACTTAAGAAATAATCACATCTGCACTATTCATTGGTTAAGTTAAATCACGATTTTGCACATTTTTACCTTAGTTTAAAATAGCACAGTAATCTTTTCTTTCCTGAGTTTTGTTAAACCAACACTCAGACTTTTACCATCTGCTCCCTTCAAAATCATGTGGCATATTAAACGACAATCTTTGAAACTTAAACAATTAAGGCACCCACCCTCACTCCTCTTCTTGCAAATGGATTGACAAATTGGGAGAGTATACATATTCAAAAATTCTCATGTAATTTACAATTCTAGTCAAAGGAATTTAAAGAGCCTAACTTGAAAGAGGATAGCTCTAATAATCAAATTAATGAAAACTGAACTGGGCAAAGTAAACTCCAAATCTGTACCAGGTGTCAGTCATGCAACACAATACATGTTTGCTATTTTATAGGGATATGTGTTACTTTACAAAATAAATTCAAGTTCTGCCATGAAGAGATTGCCAATTAAAATAAAAAAGGGAGGCTGAAAAAAGGGAAGAAGAGAAGAAAGGAAGATACCAATGAAGAGAAACAACTTACTTTGAAATTATTAGCAAATTATGAATATCTCTGAAGTAAGAAGGATTCAGTTTCAGCTTTCCTATCATAGCAAAGAGAGCAACCACTCCTCCTTTAAAAAGCACCTGAAATTAAATTTATTCTCAGAGCCATAAGTATAGCTAATCAACTGGAAGGTCTTACTAAGATGTCATCATTGGAAGTATTAGTTGCTTAGCAGGTTAGATGAGAAATGAAACCTGCTTCCTGATATGAAAATAAAAACATTTCCAAAAAGACTAAGAGAAGAAACAGTGCCAGGTGGGGAAAAGAAACATACAGGGCTGAATCTATTCCAGAAAAAGAAAGAATGACTGCACTGCAACTATACAAAGTTAGACCTGACCCTAACTCTAGCCATCATCAGAAAGCAAGATTTTTACCCCCTTCTTCAGAAATAGTGTACAAATATGTAAATGGCCTATCATTCCATCTTGCTTCAATGTGATTGCATCTCAAAGCACACTCACGGAACAAGCTTTGGTAGCTTTCTGGGTAGAGCATATTATTTAATTTATCTTAAATTTAGGGGTTATCC